GTGTGTGTGTGTGTGTGTGTGTGTGTGTGTGTGTGTGTGTGTGTGTGTTGAGAAGGTGTAGGGGGAGGGACAGATATATAAGCCACTTCAAAACTTGGTTCAATTCCCAGCACTCACATGGCAGCTCACAATTGTCTGTAATTCCAGTTCCAAAGGATCTAACACTTTCATACTAATGCACATAAAATAAAATTTTAAAAAAAATCACCTTATTAACTCAGAAGGAATCATATGTGAAGATTAGCCACTGAACGCCCAAAAACGGAATGCTAGTTGAGATAGTATATTAGTTTGCTCAGTGATAGAACTTAGATAGTTAATTTCACCAATATAAATGTGTGTTTTTCTTAGCATTTGGTTCATGGAAACAAAGGACTGGATTCTGAGGAATGCTGTCTTAGTTTGGTTTTTATTGCTGTGAAGAGAGACCATGACCATAGCAACTCTTATAAAGAAAACCATTTAACTGTGGCTGGTTTACAGTTTCAGAGGTTTAGTCCATTCTTGTCATGGTGAGAAGCATGGCACTGTGCAGGCAGACATGGTGCTAAAGATGGAGATGAGGGTTCTCCATCTTGATCCACAGGCAGCAGAAGTAAAGACTGCCACGTTAGGCCTGGGTTGAGCTTGTGAGACCTCAAAGCCCATCTCCACAGTGACACACTTCTTCCAATAAGGCCAGACCTCCTATTATAGGCCACTCCCTATAGACCAAGCCCTCAAACACATCAGTCTATCGGGACCATTCCTATTCAAATCACCACAAAGGCCATCTTTGCATCTGCCAAAAATGTTCTATGTCTTTTTATTTGACAAAGTAAGCTCTCATGTGTCTTTTCAGGACACGGAGAACATCAGAGGGCTTCAACTCACCTAAAACTAATAGCCTGGCAAAGATGTAGCTACAAATGTAGTCATATTGGGGGTTGGAGCTTTGTCATTGGAACATATGGGGGATACTTGTAGTCCAAAGGGAGAAAAGGGAAAAAATAAATAAAAGGGACCAGTACCCAGTACAGTATTAAGGAAAAAACCAATTTCTTCCCAACAGTTATATTTGAAAATTCTCATTGTTGGTGGGGGAAAAAATAATTCCTTTCCAAAAATACTGGAGGCTTTGATAACTGTATAATGACTGTGCATTTCTTGGCCATTTTGGGTGATGGCATCTCTAATGCCAACATGCTCTGTTCTAGCACTGTTCCCCTGGGAGCAGACCAGATCCTTCTTCGTGGTGCTCAGTTAAGAAATACCCAGTGGGTTCATGGGATAGTTGTCTACACCGGACATGACACCAAACTGATGCAGGTGGGACTTTTTACCTATGAGACCTTTCGAGACTAAGTCTTTAGGGAATACGTGATTCATCGCTCTCGGAGTGCTTGTCCCAAACCCAGCAGAGAGCCATCAGACATTGCCTAGCCTTACACCACACACCCATATTGGGAAGTAAGTGAACGAGACCTTGAAAGTCCTTCCCTGTGAGAAGAGCTCTCTGCACATGGAAACACTGAGAACCTCCCCCCACCCATCAACTGATATATATGGTGTGTGTTTAGCCATGACATTTTCCAACTACTAGTGCTCACTTCAAGTTGCCTGTGTGACAGCCTCTGCATCAAAATATTTGTCTCGTGATTTTATTTTAATGAGATGGTCAAACTTTAAATTAATTTTTTTTTCCCATGAAGACAAGTATAAACTAAGCAGCCATTTCTTCGTGGCATTTCTGTACAAGGCTGCCCTTGCCGTCTACTCTCCTCCCCTGTACACTGTAAAGCAGTCTGCGTCCAGTAGTGTGACAAACAGAGGAAACTCACCCTGGAACACTAATTGGAGTTCTACTGTCAGGACCACTGTCCCTGTGTGTCATGCAGGCATGAAGATGCTGTCATTGACAAGTGGGATGGCTGGTAATGTTCCTTCCCTGACCGCGCCCTCAATGCCATCATTCTTCATTTATATTGGTTACGAGGGATTTTCTTTTCTGCCCTGTGGATGCTTAGTTAGCACAGATCTGGCATAAATACTGACTCACCATCGGGTAGAGCAGAGGTGCCCTCCTTGTCTTCAGCTGCAGCGGTCAGGCTGGCTTCACCGTCCTGCCGCCTCTGCCTCCTAAGCCAGCCTGCTGCTGCACCTGGTTCTTTGTTATTGATTCTGGATGGTACAGCTTGAATTATGGCTCTGTGCGGTAAAGCAGTTCTGAATGGCACCTTTAGATGTTAAATCCTTTAGACACTGAGATGTTTTCAGGACCGTAGGCCTTTCCCTTTTCCTCTTTCCTAAGCAAAGGAAGTAAGTAGATGCTGTGAAAAGAAAGACCTTGTTTGCTTAAGTAGCAGGTACCTCCTACCCTGCCTGACACAATCTGCAAAATAAATGTTACCAACCCCTCTCTTTTTCTCATTGTTTTAACAACCTGGAAACGTGTACGTGTGGTGTAGTGGGCTTAAGAATAAGAGGTGCCATCCACAGGCACCTTGTTATACTTGTTATGTGTTTGGGACAGTTGTCAGCCTCAGGTACTGAGTTGTGACTTTGTCTCCCTCACCAAATACTAAGTACACGATACTAAATTGTACATGTACACTTTTTACCGCTCGACGACTTGTTCTATTTGTTTTGCAGAATTCCACAAGTCCACCACTCAAACTCTCCAATGTGGAACGGATTACGAATGTGCAAATTCTGATCTTATTCTGCATCCTAATCGCCATGTCTCTTGTCTGTTCTGTGGGCGCAGCCATTTGGAATCGAAGGCATTCCGGGAAAGACTGGTACCTCCATTTACACTGTGAGCAGCGAAGTGCTGACTTCCTTATTGTTTCCCCCTTTCATTTAAGTGAGCATTTGCTTCACCATCAATCTTCATTTATTTTGCCAAACGTCCCGTTGTTTCTGAAAAGGAAACTTGTGGCTAAGGTAACTGGGGGGCTTGTCTTCAGTTTTCAACAGATCTCTAGGAAAAGCAAGTAAGACCTAGGTTCTCAGAACTTCAAAATACTTTTATGTCCCTCCATTCCATGGCAGTATAAAATGCTTTATAAATACAACCATTAACATGATACACAATTTTTAAAAAAGCCTCTATAATATATATAATGTGATAGTTCAACTCTTGCAAGGAGATTCTGTGTGGAGGAAATTATGGGTATTAATCTATTATGAAAACATAGATTATATGCTTTTAAAATGTTCAGAACGTACTCTTGCTTTTCTCCTTTCTTTCTTGCTTGCTTTTCTTTGAACTCAATTACAGTTTTATATACATGCTCATCTTGTCTTGGGGAGAGTAGTTTTAAATCGCTTCCGTCTGGAGCTTGTATTCTCCTGCTGTTCTCATATTAATGTCTCCCCTCTGGGTATTTCTAGGAAGTGAGTTAGCATTTCCTTGTGATGAATACTTAGCCAGTAAATACTTAATTTCCCTAAAGTGTGAAAACAGATTCTAGTACAATCTTACAGGGGGGAAAAAAAACAGATTTTAAAGCTTATTTTATTGTATTTACTTAACTTTTTTATTACATTTATTTAGCTTTGCAACTATTCCAAGTTTCTATAGTCATTGATTTGTTATTTCAGGATGAAAAACATGTTATTACTGCGATCAATTTGTATATATTCCTTACAGTATGGTAGGCTTCCTTGTTTTATTTTCCTTATCAAGGAGGAAGAAGTTAATTCACTTAGGATAATTTAACCTACAGATGAAAAATGCTCCTGTAACTAAGGATACAACTCAGTGTAGTGCTTACCAGTATGTGTGTGTGTGTGTATGAACAAGGTCGCCCAGAGCCCATTACTGGAAAAATTAAAAAAAAAACTTTTGGATTGTTCTAGTTGCTATTGTGTTTCCCTTGAAACCGTGCTTTAGTTGGAAAATGCTTTCAAGAATTCACATACAAGGGTTCCGCCCAAATGGCGATGTGTGTTTACAAACTTTCAACCCTCCTAGCCTCTCTGAACTTCCTGACTGGAACGCAGTGTACAACACCAATAATGATAGCACTTTTTTTTTTACTCTCCAACCCCCAAGACAGGGTTTCTCTTAGTAGTCCTGTCTGTCCTGAAATGCACTCTGTAGACCAGGCTGGGCCTCCAGCTCAGGGATCACCTGCTTCTGCCTCCCTAGTTCCGGAATTAAAGGCAGGCGCCACCATGCCTGGTTTCTCTCAATTTTTGGTAGCACTGTGGAGATCTTGATAGGATTAATGTGCTGTAATGTTATGTAAGGAATAGTAAGCCTAAACATACTCAGTAGAGACAGAATGTTTCCAGCCTAGAGTTGGTTGGATCCCTGATGTGGGGCCTTAGAAGAAAGGGTGACTGAAGTACAGTTCTACACTGAAGGAGGTATTTGAGAATCAAGATGTGTTACCGGCAAAGTCTTCCTCAGTGTGTCTAGATTTGCTGTATAATTCAGGAAGTTCTTATTGTGCTCAGGTTTTCTCATTGCAGATATGAAATTGTAAATGAAGTTCTCCTCTTCCCCCGACAGATGGTGGCGCTAGTAATTTCGGACTGAACTTCTTGACTTTCATTATCCTTTTCAACAATCTCATTCCCATCAGCTTGTTGGTTACATTGGAAGTGGTGAAATTTACCCAGGCATACTTCATAAATTGGGTAAATACGAATTTGTATTACACATTATCTTCCTAAGTATGTATTTTCTCTTTTTAAAAATTTACTCTGATGGAGTCTTTTGATCTGAGGACGTTAAAAAAATTGTAAAGTCTTAATTATATGTTGTTTTAATTGACTATGTAACGGTATTTCTTAAGACTAATATAATTTTAACATGGTCACCTCAGAATCATGCAAACTGATACACCAGACATCCCGAGGAAAAGCGGTCTGTAGTTCAGGAAACCTGTTTGGGGACACACAGTGGCTGTAGAGGAAGAAGATGGTGCATTTGGAATTGAAATAGCCCTCTTGTGGCTCTAGTGGTATCATTAACCACATTCGCACCTTTGCCTAGTCTCTCAGCTTCTCGGAACTTAATTTCTGGTCACTAGCACTAAGATGACCAGGTATTTTACCTGAATCTCTCAGTATTTGTGCAGCTCAAGAGCCTGTTTACACAGCGAAGAATTTTCTAAGCAATCGAGCATGCTTCTGCCTGGGGAATTTGTCCATTCATCTAGTTCATTTTTAATACCGTAAACAACCTCAGTGTACATGGTTTTCCTTTTGAATTATTATATTGATGATTTTTATATTTGAGAGATGTATTAAACATCTGCTTGCTATATTTTCTTCATCAAATATTGTTTTGTTCTTTTGTTTATATCTTAGTTAAAATTAATGAACTCATGTAAATTATACCATCTGGTGTGATATGCCAAAAAGTTGAATTTTTTTTTTGAGACATTTTTATTTTACTTTTTCTTCCAAACTCATCTTAAAGCTTTTTGACATGAACAATACTGGGGTTTGAAAAATGTAATCAAAGATACTTTTGCAGCCGTTCATTATCTTCTCATGGTGACTGATCTTGCTAAAATGTCAGCCTCTCTCTTATCTTTGGTAAAAAATCAGTGTAATTTAGGAATCTGAAATGAGCGGCAGGCATGGTTTATATCACACAAGGACGGTGTACTGAAGAATTGAGCCTTCTCTTAACGAAGGGCTCTCACTCCCAGATATAAGAAGGCAAATGCACTGCAGCCATCAGATGGCCACTCAAGTCCCTATTTTTCTTTTTTTTTTTATTTTTTTTTATTTTTATTATTTTTTTCTTTTTAGTTACATTTTGTTAACTCTGTGTCCCAGCTGTATTCCGCTCCCTCATTCCCTCCCCAACCCCACACTCCCTCCCTGGTCTCCTCCCTGCCCCTTTCCAAGTCTACTGTTAGGGGAGGACCTCCTCCCCTTTCATCTGACCCTGTTTTATCAGGTATCTTCAGGGCTGGCTGCAAAGTCCTCCTCTGTGGCCTAACAGACTGCTCCTCCCCTGGGGGGGGGGGGGTCAAAGAGCCTGCCCTTGAGATCCTGTTAGAAATAGTCCATGTTCCCCTTACTTTGGAAAACTACTTGGTTACTGAGCTACCACGGGCCACATCCGAGCAGAAGTTCTAGGTTATATCCATAGATGGTCCTTGGTTGAGTGTCAGTCTCAGAAAAGACCCTGTGCCCAGATATGTTTGGTCCTTGTAGAGCTCCTATCCTTTCCATATCATACTAACTTCCCTTCTTTCATATGATTCCCTGCACTCTGCCGAGGGTTTGGTTATGAGTCTTAGTGTCTGCTTTGAAACACTGCTAGGTAGAGTCTTTCAGATGCCTTTTGTGGTAGACTCCTGTCATAAGTTCAATGCACATCCCATTTGTCTTTCTAAATGAGGATTAATCACCTTCGCCTGTGTCCACTTTCTTGATTATCTTCTTTAGGTGTGTAGATTTCATTATGTTTATCATATCTTGTAGGTCTATATAAGCGAGTATATACCAAGTTTGTCTTTCTCCTTCTGGGATACTTCACTCAGAATGATCTTTTCTAGATCCCACCACTTGCCTGCAAATTTCATGATTTCCTCCTTTTTGATTGCTGAGTAGTATTCCATTGTGTAAAAATACCACAATTTCTGTATCCATTCCTCCGTTGATGGACATCTGGGTTGTTTCCAAGTTCTGGCTATTACAAATAAAGCTGCTACGAACATGGTTGAACAAATGTCCTTGTTGTGTACTTGAGCAAATTTTGGGTATATACCTAGGAGTGATATAGCTGGGTCTTGAGGTACAACTACTCCTAGTTGTCTGAGAAAGCGCCAGATTGACTTCCAAAGTGGTTGAACCAGTTTACATTCCCACCAGCAATGGAGGAGGGTTCCCTTTTCTCCACAACCTCTCCAGCATGTGCTATCACTTGAGTTTTTCATCTTGGCCATTCTGATGGGTGTAAGGTGAAATCTCAGGGTCGTTTTGATTTGCATTTCCCTAATGGCTAATGAGGTTGAGCATTTCTTTAAGTGTTTCTCTGCCATTCGATGTTCCTCTTTCGAGAATTCTCTGTTTAGCTCTGTTCCCCATTTTTTAAGTGGATTACTTGGTTTGTTGCTTTTCTGCTTCTTTAGTTCTTTATATATACTGGATATTAGCCCTCTGTCAGATAAAGGGTTGGTGAAGATTCTTTCCCAATCTGTAGGCTGTCTATTTGTTTTGATGACAGTGTCTTTTGCTTTACAGAAGCTTTTCAGTTTCATGAGGTCCCATTTATTGATTGTTGCTCTTAGAGCCTGTGCTGTTGGTGTTCTGTTCAGGAAGTTGTCTCCTGTGCCAATGAGTTCTAGGCTGTTTCCCACTTTTTTTCCAACTGATTTAGAGTATCTGGTTTTATGTTGAGGTCCTTGATCCACTTGGACTTTAGTTTTGTGCAGGGTGATAAATATGGATCTATTTTCATTTTTCTGCATGTAGACATCCAGTTGGTCCAGCACCATTTGTTGAAGATGCTGTCTTTTTTCCATTGAATGGATTTGGCTTCTTTGTCAAATATTGAGTATTCATAGGTGTGTGGGTTTATTTCTGGGTCTTCTATGCGATTCCATTGATCCTCCTTTCTGTTTCTATGCCAATACCATGCAGTTTTTATTACTGTTGCCCTGTAGTACAGCTTGAGATCGGGAATGGAGATACCTCCAGATGATCTGTTGTTGTACAGGATCGTTTTGGAGATTCTGGGTGTTTTGTTTCTCCATATGAAGCTGAGAATCATTTTTTCAAGGTCTGTAAAGAATTGAGTTGGTATTTTGATGGGAATTGCATTGAATCTGTAGATTGCTTTTGGCAGGATGGCCATTTTCACAATGTTAATCCTACCAATCCATGAGCATGGGAGATCTTTCCATCTTCTGAGATCTTCTTCAATTTCTTTCTTCAAAGACTTGAAGTTTTTCTCAAACAGGTCTTTCACTTGCTTGGTTAGAGTCACATCAAGGTACTTTATGTTATTAGTGGCTATTGTGAGGGGTGTTGTTTCCCTAATTTCTTTCTCAGCCTTTTTGTCTTTGGTATACAAGAGGGCTTCTGATTTTTTTGAGTTGATTTTGTATCCTGCCACTTTGCTGAAGGTGTTTATCAGCTGAAGAAGTTCTCTGGTTGAATCTTTGGGGTCGCTCATGTATACTGTCATATCATTTGCAAATAGTGACACTTTGACCTCTTCCTTTCCGATTTGTATCCCCTTGATCTCCTTTAGTTGTCTTATTGCTCTGGCTAGGACTTCAAGTACAATGTTAAAGAGATATGGAGAGAGTGGGCAGCCTTGTCTTGTCCCTGATTTCAGTGGGATTGATTTAAGTTTCTCTCCATTGAGTTTGATGTTGGCTATAGGCTTGCTGTATATTGCCTTTACTATGTTTAAGTATGTGCCTTGTATCCCTGATCTCTCCAAGACTTTAAACATGAATGGGTGTTGGACTTTGTCAAATGCTTTTTCAGCATCTAAGGAGATGATCATGTGGTTTTTCTCCTTCATTTTGTTTATGTGGTGGATTACATTGATGGATTTCCGTATGTTGAACCACCCTTGCATTCCTGGGATGAAGCCTACTTGGTCATGGTGGATGATATCTTTGATGTGTTCTTGGATTCGGTTTGCAAGTATTTTATTGAGTATTTTTGCATCAATGTTCATAAGAGAGATAGGTCTGAAGTTCTCTTTTTTTGTTGGATCTTTGTGTGGTTTAGGTATCAACGTGACTACAGCTTCATAGAATGAGTTTGGTAGTGTTCCTTCTATTTCTATTTTGTGGAATAGTTTGAGGAGAATTGGTGTTAGTACTTCTTTGAAGGTCTTGTAGAATTCTGCGCTGAAGCCATCTGGTCCAGGGCTTTTTTTGGAGGGGAGACTGTTAATGACTGCTTCAATTTCCTTGGGAGATATAGGGCTATTCAGTCTTTCTACCTGATCTTGACTTAATTTTGGTAGATGGAATCTGTCAAGAAAGTTATCCATTTCATTTAGATTTTCAAATTTTGTGCCATATAGGCTTTTGTAGTATGACCTAATAATCGTTTGGATTTCCTCAGTGTCTGTAGTTATGTCCCCATTTTCCTTTCTGATTTTGCTGATTTGTATGGTTTCTCTCTGCTTTTTAGTTAGTTTGGCTAAGGGTTTGTCTATCTTGTTGATTTTCTCAAAGAACCAGCTTTTTGTTTCATTGATTCTTTGGATAATTTTATTTGTTTCTAATTGATTGATTTCTGCCCTTACTTTGATTATTTCCAGCCTTCTGCTCCTCTTGGGTGTATCTGCTTCTTTTTTTTCTAGGTTTTTCAGTTGGGCCATTAAGTTGTTTGTATGTGATGTTACGGATTTCTTCTTGTAGGCACTTAGTGCTATAAATTTTCCTCTGAGCACTGCTTTCAATGTGTCCCATAAATTTGGGTATGTTGCGCCTTCATTTTCATTGAATTCTAGAAAGTCTTTAATTTCTTTCTTTATCTCTTCCTTGACCCAGCTGTCATTGAGTAGTAAGTTGTTCAGTTTCCATGTGCGAGTCGGCTTTTTGTTGTTTCTGTTGTTGTTGATATCCAGCTTTAGTCCATGGTGGTCAGATAGTATACAAGGGATTATTTCAATCCTTTTGTATCTGTTGAGGCTTGCTTTGTGACCAACTATATGGTCTATTTTGGAGAAGGTTCCATGTGGTGCTGAAAAGAAGGTGTACTCTTTTGAGTTTGGGTGAAAAGATCTGTAGACGTCTATTAGGTCCATTTGATTTAGGGATTCTGTGAGTGCTTTTATTTCCCTATTTGGTGTCTGTCTGGTTGATCTGTCCCTTGATGAGAGTGGGGTGTTGAAGTCTCCCACTATTACGGTATTAGGATCAATGTATGATTTAAGCTTTAATATTGTTTCATTTACGAATGTAGGTGCTCTTGTATTTGGGGCATAGATATTCAAAATTGTGATGTCCTCTTGTTGGATTTTTCCTTTGATGAGAATATAGTGGCCCTCCTTATCTTTTTTGATTAACTTCGGATGAAAGTCTATTTTATTAGATATTAGGATGGCTACTCCAGCTTGTTTTCTGGAACCATTTGCTTGAAAAACATTTTTCCAGCCCTTTACTCTGAGGTAGTGTTTATTTTTGTTGCATAGGTGTGTTTCTTGGATGCAACAGAATGTTGGGTCTTGTTGCCGTAACCATTCTGTTAGCCTGTGTCTTTTTATTGGTGAGTTAAGTCCCTATTTTTCATGTGGGTTTTCAAAGAATAGAACTTGTTTTCAAATAGTTGCATAAAGACAGTGCCGAATAAGCCCCGCAAGCTCTTGCTTTTCATCCACCCTCCTAACTAGCAGGGACTTAGTGATGGTCCCACCAAGCCAGCTTCCTCCCTGTGTGGAAGAGATCAGTAGCTGTTACCTGCATTCTAGTTCTGGCCGGTTGTCCTGTTACACAGGGTGGATTTCTGAATGGTAGCTTTGAAAATGTTTAGCTTCAGCTGTCCTGTGGTGCCTGTTCTAAGTCAGACCCATCCCTCCTGACTTAAACTCCCTCCTCTCTAGCTGGCCTTCATTTCATCTGGTTTTCAGATTGATCCTTGTGTGAGCCTTCTCTAGGACTCACTGGCCAAACGTCTCCCAACATGGCATAAAAACTCAAAGCCTAATCCAGAGATGACACTGATCAGCTCAGAACCCTGATAGGAGAGATATGAAACCCAATAAACTACAGCCCTGACTTGTTTATAAAATATTCTACTATGAAAAATGTTAGATAAGCCAGGCGCAGTGGTGCAGGCCTTTGATCCCAGCACTCAGGCAGGTAGAGACAGGCGGGGTCTCTGTCAGTTCAAGGCCAGCATGGTCTACAAAGCAAGTCCAGAACAGCCAAGGCTACACAGAAGAACCCTGTCTCGGAAAAAAAAAAAAAAAAAAGATTAGATAATGGGGTTGGATAATGGGGTCTGATCATGACTATTGGATGCAGAGCAAGCACAAAGAAATATAAAACTGTAACTTTTGAGACATAGACTGTCTAGTGTCTGTGGTAAGAGAAACTTAGCCTGGGAAGTCCAACCAGACCAGAAAGTAGTCTCTTAAATAACCTTTCCTGGTATTGAAGAGCTAATTATGTGAAAACATCAGCTGCTTTTCCAGCAAACATCACTAAATAGCTACCTCACATCCCTCTGGGGAGCACTTGAGCACGTGCATTGCCTAACTTAACCCCATCTGACCCCACAGACAAGCTCTCACTACCACACTCTGCCGTTCTAACTGAAGCGAGCCATCCCACCCTGGGTACTTTTCAGGACAGCCTTGTTGAATCACGGAGAGATAGGGAGGAACTAGAGTAAGTTACACAGAGCTCAGCAGTGACATGGTGACTTGTGAAAAGTAAAAGGAAAAAAAAAAGTGATTTCTTTTGCTCACCCAGTCCACCAGTACCTTGCATTCAATGACATCACTTGTTTCTTTGCAGGATCTTGACATGCATTATGAGCCCACAGACACGGCTGCGATGGCTCGGACATCTAATCTGAATGAGGAACTTGGCCAGGTAAGCTGTTGTTGGCACAGGTGGACTCCGCAGTGAGATTTGATGTGATTTCTGCTTCTGTGGTGACTTCAGATGAAGGTGTATCTCCTCATTTTCCATTGTCTGAATAGGGCACATGAATGCATTTGTTTATATACGGTCTTCATATTTAGTAGTGGAGTCTTCCAACTCTAAAGCGGACTTTTCTTTCAAGGTGAGGTTCAGTGCAAGCCTAGGTATGCTTCTTAGTAGGTAATCGGATTAGCTGTTAAATATTGACTGTTTTGAGTTATAGGAATAGGAGTAGACCTGTTCATAACTTTTATCCCGAAGGAAGGAAAAGTTCAAGTTGTATGTGTCTAGTCAACTAGGAATGTGGATTAGTCAAATAGTCAAACAGAAATAGGATTTATCAGTCATATTTCATTAATATACACTTGCATCACTTATCAAGGATGTGTTCTGAGCAGTTCACTGTCAGGTGATAACATCATTATGTAAGCATCATAAAATGCCTTTCCATGTGCTCATAGCTATGACCTCACTAGGAGAGTGCTACAATCATGTGGTCTACACAGCATATATGCAGACTTTGTTAACTAAAGCGTTCTTAGGTGGCATGCGACTGCAGATGTTTTCATTGTAATCCATTTATAGGTGCTAGCTGGAAAGGGGATTTTTGTTTTCTCCTCCACCACTTTTCGACTGATACTATCCAAATTGCCTCTTACCGATTTGGATGGTGTCTAAAGTGAAGTGCACAAGCTATTGCCAACCCTAGAACTGCTTGTTATACTGAGAAATGCGGGTGAGGTCCTAGTACTATCTGTGTTTGAAAACAGCAGTGAAACTTTCTGTAGAAATTCAGAATATTCTGAAGCAGATTTCTCTATGGCTCTGGTTTTTCTAACATACATTGATACCCACATATAAAATAATTTATTGCTAAAATACTAAAAGAGCTGAATTGTTCCTTAGAGAATGTACCAAAAGCAAGTCTAGCAGCCCCTGTACCCCCACAGTACAGCCAAGTTGACTTTTAAAGAAAGTATAATTTAAGTACATTTGCTTTCCTCTATAAAAAAGAATTTCTGAGTAGGGTAGATATAGCTCATAGGCAGAGCACTTGCCTGGTATGCATAGGCCCCAAGATGGATGTTTAAAAGCCTTTTGAAATATTAATGAGGACTTTAAACCTGCTTGTAGGTTAAATACATTTTTTCTGACAAAACTGGGACCCTGACGTGCAATGTGATGCAGTTTAAGAAGTGCACCATCGCGGGTGTGGCCTATGGGTAAGTGTTTTCCCTTTTCTCGGGATGTGAAATGCACGCTGAATTGATTCCGTATATCTGGAAATATACTTGTGCAAGGATGGTTCGAGTTTGTTTTGTTTTGTTTTGTTTTGTTTTAATCTAGAAAGTGGTTCTTTTTCCTTCAGGATTGATGAGTTGTGTATTTTACAGCTGGTGTTGCTTTCTCTAGGGGATGTGATAGGTGGGGACAGGCTGGTGGGTCTCTCGGTGTTTAGGGCTGCAGAAGGTCTCTATTCCTTCACTCTGCCCTGAAGTCGGGGTGCAGTATGGATGAGGGAAGAAGCCACTGTGAGGCCTCGGTCAGTTCTTAAGTTAAATGATACTGCTGTTGCCTCAATAGTTACTCTTGTTTTGTCTTTTATCATGTCTCTTCTAAGCCATTACAGAACAATCTAAAATCCTGGTGATGGGCAGGAGGGAGGGACAAGGACATCTTCAATCTGAAGAGCAGATTGAAGAGTCTTTCAGATTGGGTGTGGCATCCATGTAGTTTATTTCTTACTGTATGAATGCATACCTAAAGCGTTCAGAGACACCCTCCTTTTGGTTGAATGTTTCAAGCTTTCTCAGCGAAATTTGCAATTATCCTTATCTCAGAGAGACAAGTAAATACTGAAGTCTTTATCACACTTCCTTGCCTTGGGCCTCCTCGATTGTACCCACTTCATACTTTACGTTTAAGCAATAAATCAGTGGGAAGGAAGCATTAAATTTTGAAAATATCTGAAACTAAATTTATTATTATTCCTACATACAGTGTCTGCAAACAGGAGTAGAGACCACTATGCTTGTTCTTTAGAGCAGGAGAGAGTTTGATCAAAAGGACTTCAACCTGTGGATACAGCTGGTTGGATGGCTTTTCCACACCATAAAGACAGGTTGTTGAACTGAAAAGAATACTGGTGTTTCCAGTTTGCATTTTTTTCCCTCTTTATCTGAAGTCTGTTAGTTCTCCAAAAAAAAAAAAAAAAAAAAAAAAAATGCTGCCCACCCTCCTCTCTACCCTCCCCAGAATTGTCTCTGGAGAAGGGGAATCATAGTCATGTTCTTTGACAGCAAATGCTTTCACGTTCTACATGCAGTTAATACGGGAACAGGAAACACTTGTCTTCATGGGTTTTTCTTATGCTCAGAACAGGGTCTTAGTCACAATTGACCATATGTGCAGAGCAGAGCTCTTTCCTTGTCTGTTGGTAACTTATAATTCGCAAATGAGGGAGGTCAGGATGGGTTTGAGCAAAGTGCGGGTCCTGTCAGTTTAGATGGTCAATGAAATGAATGTTCTTGTGAGAACATTTCTTAAGAATGAGATGAAGAGATAGGGTATCTTAGGTGTCTTAGATTCCCTCCTGTGACCTTAGACAATTCCCTTGCAGATTTTGCTAACTCTGAGGAACAATAAAGAGGAAAACCAGATAATCTCTAAGGTCCCTTTCAAGATAGGATGCTCTAACAGGTTTAGTAATAAGGACAGGATTTGTTTGCAGAGATCAGCAATAATAGAAATGGGTCCTGTTTAGGTATGGCTTCATGTTTCAAGGATACTGAAAGCCATGCTTCCCCTAGTTAAGCTAATTGCAAGCATCACATAAGCTTTGTGCATTTGTGTTAGCCCGCACAGCCCTTGATGTGATTTTATGCATACATAAATTCATGTAATATATACATGTATATATGGTTCCTTATAATGTATTTTGATCATCTCCACCCCGATCCAGCTCCTCCCAGATCCACCCCTCTCCCTTTTTAAATTAAGTTCTGCTCTCACTTATCCTTATGGACAACTGGAGCGTCAGCAACGTAGAGGGACATTGGATTTGGAGACACTAACTTTAACTAACCACACGTTTGTATCAGGGGCCAGTCTGATTTCATGGCTGACGCGCAGGGGAGTCAGTCACAATCAGCCGCCTCACTGGAGGCTTACCTCTGCGCACTCCTGGCTTATAAGAACATAGATAGGTTCCCCTTTCCACTGCAACTATGTGAACTATGGGGAATTATTGCAAAAGATACCCTGATGTTTATCCCCACCTAAACCCTTAGGAAATGACAAGACTGTAATGCACTTGAAGTGGCAACAAACAAGGATGCAGCTAATCCTTCTTCAGGCTCTAGGTGAAGTCTGTGCTGTCACATTGTATCAGCTAGAAGGTGAGAATTGTCAAGTCTCCCAGTAGAGTAATTTTAGCTAGTTCTCTGCATCCATCAATTTTGTAGGAATGGAATATTTAACACCAATGCTTCAGAATTTAATTTTAACAAAGCTTCTCTCGTTTGATATAAGCCTTGCCTCAAACTTTGCCTGTTTGAATTTCATGGCAGACAATGAAATTGAAAGATTTATGCACAGTTGCCAGCAATGACTATTTCACAGAAATCAACTTTGTAGTAAGGAAGCCTCTGTTTATACTTATTGGGTTTTTTCCCTTAGGTCTTCTTATGGGAAAGTTGTAATTAAATATAAATAAACTGATATCATTTATAAATTTAACTTGCTATAAACCGGAAAGTACAGTGTTAAACATTTAGGAAAGTATCACGTAGCAGATTACCATATGGAGATACCTGTGTTATCACAGTCAGTTGAGTATCCAAAAAAGATAAGAACTTCTACATTGAAGAGTTTTTCTTATAACCTGTGCTTGTCAGCAATTTAGTCTATACTATCTTTGGAGCTGAAAAATAGTCTGTTAAGTCTATTAACAACTCTTTTTGTTATTGTTGTTTTGTTTTTATTTTGTCCCCAGACATTTGATTAGTGTTAAATCATTTACCTTTTCTCTTTCACTAAAATGAAAATCCTTAAGAACAACCTGTGTCTGTACTGACTATAGTATGTGAATAGTTTTCATAGCAGATTTTGTTTAGGTCTGTTTGATGGGAGTTTAGCTGACCCTGTAACTCTGAGGAGAGACTCACCAGAAAAATCTTCACAGTTACTAAACACGTAGCCCCAAGGACTATATTACAGCCAGCACGTGTGACTGGTGGCTGACCATGACCTTTCATTTGCTTACGATAAATGTTGCTGTGCCTCCTTCTGCCAGTGGCTCTTTGTTATGTAGGAGAAGCCTAATAGTCAAAACGAGTTTACATGGTTCCCACTCTGCATTCACAGTCTCACTGGGGTAAATAGATCCTAATTAATTATAATGCAACAGTAGTCTTAACATGGAGGAAGAATTGGTGTGAACCTCAAATGGCATGGGGTATAGTGTAATGAGGAAGGTCAAGGGATGCTTCCTGACAGAGTGATCCTTGAACCCAGATCTGAGAATAAATTTAAATGAAGAACTCCCCGGACAGATATGACCACACTGGCATGGGCCAACACCAGCGTTGCCAAGCTGCAGTCATGGAAATGCATGTGAGCAAGTCACCGGCTGCCCGCCCCACCTCTGGATGGTACTAGCTTCTTCCCAGGCTGCACCAGACTCAGGCTGGGGGCCCCCATCGCCCTCGTGCTCTGGGACTGTTAAGTCTCAGGACTGCGGAAGCACGAGGTCCAGTGCTGGTCTGAAACCGTGAGCGGCGGCACAATGCCGACGCCAGCTGGCAGGACCTTCTTGCAGTGTGTGTTGCTTGGACAGTTACGGCAATCCCCCGGACAGTGCAGGAGGTGGAGGCCCAAACCTTCAGGTTAATCACATTGTTCTTGGTGCTGCGGCCCTTTTCCGCATGGGCAGGGTGAGTCCCTCCTCTTAAAAATAAACACAAACCTTTGGCAGGTAAGAGTAGCGGACTGAGAGATCCCATCTGTTCTGGTTGCTGTAGTAGAGAGGATATTGCCCTGGAGGAAACAACGTTTTGGAGGTAGATGACCTTGTCACGACTAGGTTAAAGGAGTAGGGAGGCGTTTAGGGTGTTAATAAATTCTCTGAGTTTCCCACAGTTCAATATACTTATCAAAAATGATCTCTGCATTTTAAATTCTACCCGTGTGAAGTAAGTTGAATTTAAAGTGGAAATACTGAATTGTCGTATGTAAAGAATGTCCTAGAAATCGGAAAATCTCCTCTGACCTGTTTGTTGGGTGTCATGTGAAAGTTGAAGTGAGTTAGATCGAGGGATTCTTCCCCATGCTTCGATGGAGAAAATCGTTGATGGAAACTTTCTTTTTTAAGATTAAAAATTATTTTATGACTGGGCCATTTTGAATATCAGTGGCTCCATTTAGTCAAACAATTGCAGTCACCTTTCGCTCTCGTTACCTCTTGGGGAGTTACTGTGTCAAGGCAGCCAGAACTTCCTGGAAAATGCACGTCAGATTGTTTTGTGTGTGACTGTGCCCTAGGTGACTAGCACGGCTGTGTCATTAAAACGCTTTGTTATGGTTATAAATATAGATGATGGACTTCCTCCTGGCCTTAAATTTCAGCACATTCAGTAGTAAATTTTGAGTTCTACGCATCGGTCAGTTCCGGGATGCGGGACACCTCTGTAAATCCACCTGGTTACCATAAATCCTCATGTTCTACTCACTGTACTAACTGCCATTCTTCCAGATCCAACTAAAATTCATTTTCTGAACTTTCCAGAAACCTGTCTCTCGGCACCTCCCTCATTCATGGTTTTATGTTTCCAGCCTTTCTGTGATTATTTTTCCCTCTCTTTCTGTCCCTCCTCCTGAAGCCATGTCCCTGAACCTGAGGATTATGGGTGCTCGCCTGATGAATGGTAAGCTGCTGTGGTACTTCCACCTCTTTGGAAGGTTTTCTTGTATTGCTTTGTAGACAGGCTTCCCTGGCCCCTCAGGAAGCCATTTTCACAGGTGTTGGGTGATGATGCTCAACTCAAAGTATCTTTGATTTTTCTATCAAAAACCTTCATAAGCATATTCTAAAGCTTTAAATATTGCTAGAGCCTTATGTTATTTATCTATAGGCTGCAGGGATCAATTACAAAGTGCCTGGGTAGGGAAAATTCCTTGAACCCTCAGCTGCAGCAATTAAAGAAAGCATGCTTATGGTTTTTTAGCTCAGCACTGCCCCCTTCTGCGAATATGCCTGATCTGCAACCCAGATAATAGCCATGCCCAAGCTGTACAAGTTGCTACATTGTTCGTTATGTTAATGTCTTTTCAGAGGCTATAAAGTGAAGACCTTTGAATGAATGGCACAAGTGTTCTAGAACCTTACTGCTCACAACTTAATGAGAAATGCACTATAATTCATTTAGTATTGATTAAAGAGCATATTTCAAGTTTAGTTTTACTACTATGGGAAATCCCTGGGGTTTTGTCTTGTTGTGTTGTGTTGTATTTTACTTTAAAATCCTTCCAGCTATATATTTACATTTTTATCTAGGGTAATTAGTATAATTTGTTATTTGTATGATTTGGTGGCAAAAAAAATTGAGAAGTTATGATTTCTTTAAAGCTGCTGATTTTTTAAAATATTGAGGGTTTTTTTTTTTCTATTTATCTGGATTTCATGAACATTGTGATTAAGCTACATTTCCACTGAGTTCCACTGTGATTAAGTTATATTTTCAATGAAGTCCGGTCACAAAATAAGTTTTCAACCTACCTGGAAATTTATCTCAGTAAAGTGGAGCTTTGATGAGAGTTTTCAGTAAACCTCACAATACCCAGGGCTACTGATGGCGGCAGCTGCTTGATTCATATGACAAGCGGCATCATCATTGCCCATTGCGCAGAGTTCCATATATCCTGACACCTATCACGGCTAAATGGCTCTTCACGTCGCTCAGTGTGCCAGAGCATTTTATTACTGGTTGACCGCCCAAGCCTATTTAGTCCTGTGACTCTGTAGTTATAGTTTTTATGTTGATGCTCTTTGACCTCTGGTCAGGTGTCATAAATAAATCGCTCTTGCTTTTTGTCCCCTGTGTGTCTTTTCATATGCTGCTTGTCTGTAGCACATGACTCTACTCGTTTTAACACTGTTGCGTAGCATAGAATTAATTCACACATGTCTCTCACAGTCATGGATCAGTTTTCTTAGCCTCACTCTGTTTTTATCCAAATTGTTGCATTATTTACCCAGATTATTTAGAACATTATACTGTGGGTGGAGGTTGTTTCTCGGAGTCCATCACCGTTGGAAAGAGGAGATGTCATTTATCTTGCTCTTAAGTGATTTTTTTTTTCATAAAATATCTTCTTGGGAGAATCTGAATTCAAAGGACTATACCAGCTTTTTCATAAATTATGTATTTTCAATTGCCATTGGACCTAAAAGTACACCCAGAAGGACACTTGTCGCCTTTATGGCAAAGGTGCTCTGTTTATAGACCTGGGTGCTCTGTCTATAAAGTAATTACCTGTAGGTTGGCAAAGGTGAGGATATAGTTTTTTTGAGGTTCTGCGTAGAGTCACGTGGAGTGGCCATGCATTTGGAGTCTGACCTCTGACTACCAAAGTTCTGATCCTAATCTGTCCTTCAGACAAGTCACTAGCTGCATGAGTGGCCTCATGGGAAGAATGTGGTCACCTAAAGCACTTACGTCAGAAGGATATGCTGAAGATTAGCAGAGCTGTACCAGAAGGCCAGTACTGGTGGCTCTCACCCTACATCACACATCCAACATGGTCATTTTCAAGTTGATAGGACTTAGGTAGAGGAGCCTGTAAGCAATCTCCCCAGGAGCAGCAGCAGCAGACGTGGGAGTGAGAGGTAAACCAGGCTTAGCCTAAGTGTGAAGGGCATGTTAGCTACAACTTTAAGAACGTGACTTGGGAGGGGCAAGCGAGAAGAAGGGGGAGGGAGGGTGGAGCTGGGAGGGGAGGAGAGAGGGGCTTATGGGGGGATACAAAGTGAATAAACTGTAATTAATAAAAAATTAAAAAAGATAAAAAAAGAAGAAGAAAAAAAGAACATGTCTTTCTCTTGGAGCACACGATAGCTTTGCATTTCAAGATCCCCACTCCTTGTTTCACTTAGTATTTTTCTAGCTGAAATTTATTTCAGCAAAATCACCAAGGCTGTTGAGGAGCAAGTAAAACATCTGTCATTTGGCTGAGTTGAGGAAAGGTAGCTTGGAAGCCCACACACGACCCCCTATGCATTGAAAGGCCTGGCATTGGCCCTGACTCGTCTAACTGGGTGTGATTATTTTTAAAAAAACCATATAGATATATTAATAACCATTTTTTTCTTTTTTTAAAAAAAATAAAACTTACTTTGGAATGTTTAGGTATGAGTAAAACTAATGAATTTCCCCGTCAGTTATTTTAACAGTATCTCTGGGCCAGGTTCATCACACCTATGCCTTTCTACCATTGTTGTTATGAAGCACATCTCACTAAATGGATTATTTTGTTCTTTCTTACCTACTTGATACAGTCACGCATACATTCTGTTCTCATTGTTTTCCAAGTGAATGACAGTGGGTTGATCTTCCACGAGGATTGCCTTACAGTCTGCCTTGCAGTCACTCGGTGATTTTTGGTATTACTACAGTATCTGCAGGTTGTACTAGTTGCTTTTTTTTCTGCTTGGTTATTTTCTCATTTCAGTCCAGCCTATAATTAAGTGTGGAGTGAGTGGCATTTATTTATTCTGCTGTAGAAGGTAGACTCCCTGAAGCATTCTTTCAGGCACACCCTCATAATAATGAGATCTAACACATCTACATTAGCGTCAGTCTTCAAAGTAGCCCCCTTGGCAGGAGGTGTATTCAGTGGTGCAGACTTTCACTCGGTGTTTTACAACTCCTCTTTTGTAATTGCTTTCGGAAATACTTGTAGTCACCCAGGAAACTGGGCCTTATTACTTTGATCAAAACCAACCATTATCTAGCAAAAACAGTGCATTTAATCACCCATTCAAATTCTTGGACTTGACTCCGAGCAGCAAACTCACGGCTAAAAATTAAAGCGCCCAGAAAATAATTTTGATTCCAAACCAACAAGACCTTGAAAAAAAAACTGGAGATATAGATCCTCTTTAAAAACAAAACAAAACAAACAAAAAAAAAAAAAAAAAAAAAAAAAAAACAGTTCTCTGACTGCTAGGGCCAGAAAGTCCTTCAGCTGTGGCAGAAAGTTCCACTAGATTAGGGAAAGGGTCAGCCCCCGGGTCAGAGAGGATGCTGGCCAAACAGCTCTTATACCACCCTGCTCATTGCCTCAGAAAACTGCCTCGTGCTGCCAAAGGAGCTCTACCTCTTGTTGCCCGGGTGGTGTGGCATGGACCAGGAAACCAACCTCTGCACGGTGTCTGTAGGAAGGGCTGTGAGCTTGTCCAGGCTGACACAATGCACGTTCCTCCCCAATAGCTTTTGACATCCGGTCCATCACACAGCCTCTCATAGAGCATGAGTTGGTGGCTTGGGTCCACCTGGCTTCCAAACCGGAAGAGATTCCAGGACAACTAGGCGTGTTTTTTTTTTTTTTTTTAATCAACACATGTCACGGAAGTGTTGAAGAAAGAAAAAGACACCTCTCTCCTGGGGCTGAGATGATTTTGGTTTTAAAACTGAATCATTTGGTTAGAAAGATGAGTTCTTCCAGAGCTGGGACTCTGCTTCTCTTCGATAATTGCCACAAGGTAATTATTGTGTAGCTTTAGGTGTTAGACTGTGAGCATAGCCAAGAGTCAGTCCAGACTTTATGGAATAATGACTGGAAATGTTTGTGAAGTGTTTCTGCACACTTTAGCCTGACAGCATCACCTACACCAGCCGTAATCTCACCGTGGCTGGAGAGTTCTTGCCCAGTGGTCCCCGCTGGTTTCTTTCCTTGGAACAACTTAAGGGGGAAAAAAATGCCAGAGGTTTCCTTTCAAAGCCTGTTCCACTGGGAAAGGTTTATGGACTGAAGAAAGCTGGGCTAGATCGAAGGCATCAAGGAAGGACCTGCCCCCTATTGATGCAAGATCTAAAACACACGCATTACTCTAAGAAAGGCAAAAGAAACCAGCCAGGCTGTGAAGAATGCCAGCCGGAAGGTGAGGGTGTAAAGAGAGAAAGCTAGGGTACGGAGCATCATGAATGGCTCGCCAGAGAGTAAGTGAGAATGAGTAGGGGCTGCTAAAGAGCAGAGTGTGTGAAGTTCCCACCGAGGCCCACTGTTTAGGAAGAACAGCTGTGGAACTTGAGCCCCCAGTATTCCCTAGGAAGGTTCCCTGCAGGTGAAAACTCAAAGCAACCATGGAAGGGCCTCGTAAGTCTTGGATACAGACCTTACCCCATCGCTGAAGTTGCTCACTAAGCAAAAAATAATTCTAGAGTACAAGAAGAAAACTCATCTCTTCAGGGACCTGAGACAGGAGTAGACATGGCCATGGGAGAATGGCTCGACTCCAATCACAAAAGCAGGAACAGCAGAAATTGGAGGTTGAGCAAGGTCCAAGAGGGGCTGGCTGGCATCAAGAGGACAGTCTGTCCTTCAGCCTTTGGCTAGAGGGTCACTGCCATATGGCTCTTTCTGGGGCAGCCTGATGACCCTAGAGCAGTGCTTCTCAGCCTTCCTAATGCTGCCACCCTTTAATCCAGTTCCTCATGCTACTTCATACCTGTAACTTTGCTACTGTTACGAATCATAATGTAAATATTCGATATGCAGGATATCCAGTATTTGACCCCTATAAAAGGGTCAGTTGACCTCCAAAGGGGTCTCGACCCACAGGTCGAGTGCATTAGCCCATGAGTTTATAGGTCCCTTCTGGTCTGACCTGGTTTCTGGAACACACTTGTCCTGGTACACACCTGGC